TTTAATCCATTTTGAGTTTATTTTTGTGTATGGTGTAAGATAATGGTCTATTTTCATTCTTTTGCATGTGGTTGTCCAGTTTTCCCAACACCATTTATTGAAGAGACTTTCCTTTCTCCATTGTATATTCTTGGCTCCTTTGTCAAAGATTAGCTATCTGTAGATATGTGGTTTTATTTCTGGGCTTTAAATTCTGTTCTATTGCTCTGTGTCTGTTTTTGCACCAGTACCATGCTGTTTTGATTACTATAGCTTTGTAGTATAACTTGAATTCAGAGAGTGTGATACCTCCAACTTTCTTCTTTTTCCTCAGGATTGCTTTGGCTATTTGGGTTTTTTTGTTGTTCCATATAAATTTTAGGATTCTTTATTCTATTTCTGTGAAAAATGTCATCGGGATTATGATTGGGATTACATTGAATCTGTAGATTGCTTTAGGTAATACAGACATTTTAACTATATTTATTCTTCCAATGTATGGGCATGGAATATCTTTCCATTTCTTTATGTCTTCTTTAATTTCTTTCAATAATGTCTTATAGTTTTTAGTGTATAGGTCTTTTACCTCCTTGGTTAAATTTATACCTAGATATTTTATTCTTTTTGTTGTGATTGTAAATGGGATAGTATTCTTGACTTATCTTTCTGCTAGTTCATTATTAGTATATAGAAATGCAACTGATTTTTTTTTTTTTTTCTGAGGAAGACTAGCCCTGAGCTAACATCTGTGCCAATTTTCCTCCACTTTACAAGTGCTTTGCTGCCACAACATGACTGATGAGTGGTGTAGGACTGCACCCTGGATCTGAACCTGTGAACTCAGGCTGCCAAAGTGGAGCATGCTGAAATTAACTATTACACCATGGGGCCCACCCCTATATGCAGCAGATTTTTGTAAGCTGATTTTGCAGCCTGCAACTTTGCTGTAGTTGTTGATTATTTCTAATAGTTTTCTGATGGATTCTTTAGGGTTTTCTATATATAGAACCATGCCATCTGCAAACAGTGAAAGTTGCACTTCTTCCTTCCTATTTGGATACTGTTTATTTCTTTTCTTGCCTAATTGCTCTGGCCAAAACCTCCAGTACTATGTTGAATAGGAGTTGCGAGAGCAGGGACCTTTGTCTTGTTCCTGTTCTCAGACAGCTGGCATTCAGTTTTTCACCATTATGTATGATGTTGGCTGTGAGTTTGTCATATATGGCCTTTATTATGTTGAGGTACTTTTCTTCTATGCACATTTTATTGAGAGTTGGGTTTTGTTTTTATCATAAATGGCTGTTGGATCTTGTCAATGCTTTCTCTGCATCTATTGAGATGATCATGGGATTTTTATTCCTCATTTTGTTAATGTGGTGTGTCACATTGATTGATTTCTGGATGTTGAATCATCCCTGTGTTCCTCATATAAATCCCACTTGGTCATGGTGTATGATCCTTTTTTTTTGGTGAGGAAGATTGGCCCTGGCTAATGTCTGCTGCGAATCTTCCTCTTTTTGCTTGAGGAAGATTGTCGCTGAGCTAACATCTGTGTCGATCTTCCTCTATTTTGTATTTGGGATGCCACTACAGCATGGCTTGATGAGCAGTGTGTGGGTCCGCACCCAGGATCTAAACCTGTGAACCTTGGGTCACTGAAGCAGAGCATGTGAACTTAACAACTATGCCACTGGGCTGGCCCCTGTATGATCCTTTTAATGTATCGGTATACTCGATTTGCCAATATTTTGTTGAAGATTTTTGCATCTATATTTATCAGCAATATTGGCCTGTAATTTTTCTTGTGTTGTCCTTGTCTGGTTTTGGTATCAGGGTAGTATTGGCCTCATAGAATGAGCTGGGAAACGTTCCATCTTCCTCAATTTTTCAGAATAGTTTGAGAAATATATTAACTCTTCTTTGAATATTTTCTAGAATTCTCCAGAGAAGTCCTCTGGTCCTTGGACTTTTGTTGTTTGGGAGGTTTTTGATTGCTGTGTCTATCTTTTTAATTGTGATTTGTCTATTCAGATTCTCTGTATATTCTTGATTCAGTTTTGGGAGGTTGTATGAGTCTAAGTATTTATCCATTTCTTCTAGATTTTCCAATTTGTTGACATATAGTTTTTTACAGTATTCTCTTATAATCCTTTGTATTTCTGTGGTATCCATTGTAATTTCTCCTATATCATTTCTAAGTTTACTTATTTGAGCCTTCTTTTTTCCTTGGTGAGTCTGGCTAAAGGTTTCTCAATTTTGTTTATCTTCTCACAGAACCAGCTCTTAGTTTCATTGATCCTTTCTACTGTTTTTTTAAAGTTTGTATTTCATTTATTTCTTCTCTAAGTTGTGTTATTTCTTTCCTTCTACTCACTTTGGGCTTCATTTTTTCTTCGTTTTCTAGTTCTGTTAGGTTTAGTTTAAGATTACTTATTTGAGATTTTTCTTGTTTGTTGAGGTGGGCCTATATTGCTATAAATTTCCCTCTTAAAACCATTTTTGCTGCATCCCATAAAAGTTGGTATGTTGTATTTTCATTTTCATTTTTCTCCAGGTATTGTATGATTTCTCCATTGATCCCATGGTTGTTCAGTAGCATGTTGTTTAGTCTCCATATATTTGTGACTTTCCCAGCTTTCTTTTTGTACTTGATTTCTAGTTTCATAGCATTGTGGTCAGAAAAGTCCATATGATTTCAATCTTCTTAAATTTTTATTGAGGCTTGCCTTGTTTCCCAACATATGATCTATCTTTGAAAATGTTCCATGTGCACTTAAGAAGAATGTGTATTCTGCTGTTTTGGGATGGAATGTTCTATATACATCCATTAAGTCTATCTGATCTAGTTTTTCACTTAAATCCAGTATTTCCTTGTTGACTTTCTGTCTGGATGACACATCCATTGATGTAAATGGGGTGTTGATGTCCCCTACTATTACCGTGTTACCATTAATTTCTCCCTTTACGTCTGTTAATAGTTGCTTTATGTACTTTGGTGCTCCTGTGTTAGGTGCAAATATATTCACAAGTATTATCTCCTCTTGGTGGAATGTCCCTTTTATCATTCTATACTGCCCCTCTTTGTTTCTCTCTTTTTATCTTGAGGTCTGCTTTGTCTGATATAAGTATGGCAACATCTGCTTTCTTTTGTTTGCCATTTTCTTGGAGTATCATCTTCCATCCCTTCACTCTGAGCCTATGTTTGTGTTTAGAGCTGAGATGTGTTTCCTAGAAGCAGCATATTGTTAGGTCTTGTTTTTTAATCCATACAGCCACACTATGCCTTTTGATTGGAGGATTCAGTCCATTTACATTTAGAGTGATTATTGACATATGAGGGATTAACACTGTCATTTTATTTCTTATTTTATGGTTGTTATGTATTTCCATTGTTTCTCTTTCCTTGTATTTCTGACTGCCATTTCAGTTTGGTGCTTTTCTCTTTATTCTGAATTGTGGATCTGCCCTGATTTTTTATTTAATGGTTATCATGAGGTTTGTATAAAAGATCTCATAGATGAGACAGTCCACTTTCTGATAGCTTCTCATCTCCATTAGCCTAAGTAGTTTCCTTCCTTTTCCTCTTCCCCTTCTGAGTTATTGTTGTCACAAATTATTCTGTTCTGTGTTGTGAGTTTGTGACTAAACTCAAGTGTTTGTAGTTATTTTTGATGCTTTACTTCCATTTATGTTTTAAGTTATGATTAAGTGTTTGCTAACTTGTTCTGATAGAGAGCTGCAATTTTCTGATTTTGTCTGTTTATCTCCTTGTTCAAAGCTTTGTAAACCTTTTCCTTTTTGTTTCAGGTATGAGGGCTTCTTTCCTCATTTCTTGTAATGGAGGTCTAGTGATGAACTCCCTCAGTTTTTGTTTATCTTGGAAAGCTTTTATTTCTCCATTGTAACTGAAGGATAATTTCACTGGATAGAATATTCTTGGCTGAAAGATTTTGTCTTTCAGTATTTTGAATATATCATTCCAGTCTCCCCTAGCCTGTAAGGTTTCTGCTGAGAAATCCATTAAAATCTTGATGGGGTTCCTTTGTAGATTATTTTCTTCTGCCTTACTGCCCTTAATATTTTTTCTTTGTCACTGACTTTTGCCAGTTATACTATTCTATGCCTTGGAGAAGGTCTTTTTACATTAATGTAATTGGGAGTTCTGTTGGCTTCATGTATTTATAAGTGCAGTTCTTTCTCCAGGTTTGGGAAGTTCTCAGCCTTTATTTCTTTGAAGAAGCTCTCTGGTCCTTTTTCCCTGTCTTCTTCCTCTGGAATATCTATAATCCTTATGTTGCTTTTCCTAATTGAGCCAGATATTTCTCAAAGAATTCCTTCATTTTTAAAAGATCTTAGTTCTCTCTCTTCCTCTATCTGAAGCATTTCTATATTTCTATCCTCTAAATCACTAATTCTGTTCCCCACAATGTCAGTTCTGTTTTTTAAGGATTCTAGGTCATTTTTTAAATCTCATTAGCTGTGTTTTTCATATCCAGAATTTCTGGGTTTTTTTTTTTTTTTTTTTTTTTACAGTTTCACTCTCTTTGTTGAAGTATTCCTTCTGCTCATTACTTTTATTCCTGAGTTTATTGAACTGTCTCTCTAAGTCTTCTTATAAGTCATTGAGTTTCTTTAAGATAGCTATTTTGAATTCTCTGTCATTTAGATTGTAAATTTCTGTGACTTCTGGGTTGGTTTCTGGAGATGTGTCATTTTCCTTCTGCTCTGAAGTGTTACTGTAGTTTTTCATGGTGTTTGATGAACTGATCCTTTGCTGGTGCTTTTGTGGTAGCATCAGGTTGCAGATTCCACCTGTTACTGCTGGGGCAACCCAGGAGCTGTGTTTCTGATCCCACCCTGCCTGCCGGCAGTTTTGTGAATATGGTGGGCCCTCCTGCAGGCCGGGATAGTGTTTGCACATGAGACAGGCTGCTGCTGCCTCTGCTTATAGCCAAACTGGCTGCTGTGCTTGGTAGCTGGCCTTCTTTGTGAGGTCATTCGTTGGGTCACAGTGGCACAGTGGGTGTTCCTGCAGGCTGTGATAGCATTCCTGCACATGTGCAGGCCTGCTGCTGCCTCCTCTTACAGTTGTGCTGAGGTATGTTCTCACGAGAGGGGCTGCAGTGGCACAGTGGGCACTCTCACAGGCTGGGATAGCATTTGTGCATGTGTGCTGGGCTGCTGCTGCCTCCTCTTACAGTTGTGCTTGGACGCATTCCCATTTGTGAGGTGGCCGCAGCATGGTGGGAGCTCCCACAAGTTGGGATAGCGTTCATGCACAGTCTGGGCTATCCCCACCTCCTCTTAGAGTAGCACTGGCTGCTGTGTGAGGACCCATGACCTGGCTCATTGCAGCTGGGAAGGGGTAAGGGAGCACTCACCTATCTCCACTGTGTCATGGGGATCCAGTCCATCCACCTTCAGATGTATAGCTCTGTGGGTCTCTCAGGCATCCTGTTGTGCTGTGTGGGTATCCTCCATTAGTCAATGAATGTCGGTTTAGTTGTAATTCAGAGGAGGAGAGACAAAGGAAACAGCTCACTCTGCCATGTTGCTGTCATTACTCAGTGTTCATTTAATTTTTTCCTAGCCTTCTTCTTATAATTAACATGAAGAAGGATGCCTCTAATCAGGATACTTAAGAGTGGACATTTTCCCTAGATAGTGTCTGCTTTCAGCTTAGTCTTCTGTGTTTGAAAGTGTATGACATCATGTGGTCTTCTCCCTCCTTATCTTATTTCTGTCAATCAAGTATATCTTGATACCAGGACAACTACACAGAGTGATTGAAAGCAACCCTGTCCAAAAAAATATGTTTCCCCTTGTTGAATGGCTTTACATCCAAATGCAATCATACACATTTCACTACATACTACTATAATTTTTATTCGAATACAGTAGTACTCCTTCAATTGTTCGGATCCCCTTTGTAAGAGAAGATAGTATATGATTAATATATCATTTAAAAAGTAGTGGAGAAATGATAGATTGTTTAATAAATGATGTTTGGACAATTGATTATTATTTTTTTTAAAGTTAGATTACTCCCTCACACAATAATCAAAACTAATTAGAGATGGACTAAAGAAATAGATATCAAAAACAAAAAATTTAGGGTTCCAAAAATATAGAAAAACATTTTTACAGTCTTTGAATGGTGTAGCACAGGATACAAATGTAGAAAATGGAGACTGCACTAGTTATTTTAAGCAGAAAAAGATTTAATGTAGACGATTAGTTGCTTCCAAAATCTATAGAAAGACTGGATGGGGGGAGCGGTGTCTAATTTGGTCCTCCTGGAACAGCACCCAGAACTGGTCCTCTCAGGAAGCTTCCACATCTGTCACACTCAGGAAAATGGGGCGTCAACGCCAGGAATTCACCATCTCAGCTGTGACCTATAGTGAAGGAAACTGCCTTTGATGCATCTGTGAGCACATAGATGCCTGTGCCTATCTATTGATCCTTATTAATGTAGTGACTAGATAGCCTAGCTTCCAAATCATCTATGAGGGCATCTCATTGGCAGAACCTAAATCACTCCTGGAACTCAAGTTGCAGAGGAGTTTAAGAAGGAAGGCACACTGGAAAAAGGATGAAATGGTTAATATATAGATATAGAAAGACTTCCTAAACAAAAGTAAAGCTGATGTTTTCATTGCCCACCCAAAAGCCATTGTGCCCTTCTTCTTTGCTGGTGTGGCGGACACTGATGATTGTTTATCCATTCTTCCCATTCCCCTTTTGTATAGAATCCAAATATTAGTCTCAGCAGCCATGGGCTCAGTTAAAAGTCTAATTTTCAGCCTTCCTTGCAGCTAGAGGTAAACAATTCAAAGTTGTTATTGTTAGGTGGAGCTTTTGGAAAAAGGCACTAACTCAATTGCAAGTGGCGCCATTTTTCCCTTCTCCCCTTTCTTCCTGAGTGAAACATGGACATAAGGACTAGATCTCCAGCAGCCATTCTAGACACGGGGCAACCTTGGGAATTGAACTCAGGACCAAACATGGTAGAGCAGGAGCCTAGAAGGAACTTGACTCTCAAATGATCACAGAGCCACTTTGCTGGTACTGGAGTGCCTGCCTTTTGGCTTTCTTTTTATGGGAGAGAACTAAACTTCTATCTTTTTTTAAAAAAAATGCTCTTTATGTAGGTGTTTTATTTTATGCAGCTAATCCTAATAGTGACACAGTAGCTGACTCCTGATTTTGCAGCATGTCCATTTCTCCTCCACATGTATCAGAGATAAGTCCTAATTTATCTGTCAATAATTTAAGCCAATTCCCTTCATTAGTAATTGTTTTGGACATGGGCATGTAACCAAGTTCTGGCCAATTATACATGAGGGATGGAGTCGGGAAGCATCGTGAGAAAGGTTTCCTTACTCTTTGGTGAGGAAGAAGCTGTTCCTCTTCCTCAACTGGATGTTGTATCCAGGCATGATGCCTATAAACGTGACAGCTGACCTAACTATAATGGAAGCTTACCCGTGGACCTGGACAACATGCTGAGGATGGCAAAGGGGAGAAACTCCCAAACTTTAGCTGATATTGTTGAGCCACTACATTAGCCAACCCTAGAGCTGCCCTACCTATGGACTTGTTATTTGAAATAATTCATCTTGGTTATTTTGAGGCCATTTTTTTAGTTTGGTTTTCTGTTTCTTGCAACCAAAGATATTCTAAATGATATCTAACTCACATTTGACAGATGTGACTATATTGAAATGTACTTTTTAATATGACATGCCAATCATAAAACTCATAATAATTGCAATTAATTGAGCACTTCCAATGTGCACTTTCCATATATTATCTAATTTAATTCAATGATCTGGGTACTACTGTAATCCCTACCTTAAGAGGGCAAAGTAAGTTTTAAAAAGCTTAAGAGATTTTCCCAAGGTTGTATAGCTAGCAAGTTGAAGAAGTAAAATTTGAACCTAGGCTGTCTGATTGCCTGTGACCTTTCCACTACAAAGATGCCATAAGCAATAATAAAAACGAGTGACAGACTGGAAGCAAATATTTGTAACCTACATAACAAACACAAGATTTCATATCAATAATATGTAAAGAACAGCTACCAATCAGCAGTGAAAAGGCAAATTACCTGATAGAAAAATGAGTAAAGTATTTCACAGAACAATAAATATAAATTCCCAATAAAGACATGGAAAAAAACCTCAAAATCATTAGTAATTCAGTAAATGCAAATTAAGCAAGTAAATGCAATTTACAGTAATGATGACATGCCAGCCTTTTACTGTTCAGCTTATCAAATTAAAAATATTTTTAATATCCAGTGTTCATGTGGATATAGACAAATAGCCACTGTGATATGTTGTTGGTGAGAAAGCCAGAAGGGTGTTTTTTAGAAGGGAAATTTGCAATATAGATAAAAAGAGAAAAGTTAAAATGTTTCTACATTGTGCCAGCTATTATGCTCTTGGGAATCTCTCCTACAGAAATAAACCCATTCCAGCAACACGGAGTTAGCATTATTTAAATAATTAATTGTAAGAATTAATTTAACAATTTTAATAATTAATTTTAATAATTAAAATAAGCAAATTGAAAAACAATATAACTGACCTATAATTGGGGAGTGGTCAAAGAAGTGATGGCCCATCCATAGTGTATTTGTCAGAGTTCTCCAGAGAAAAAGTCAATATAAATCTCTTTACTTATAAATTTATATATAGATTTATTATAAGGAATTGGCTCATGTGATAAAGAGGCTGACAAGTCCCAAGACCTATAGTCAGCACGCTGAAGAACCAGGAGAGATGATGGTGTGGTTCTGGTCTGGAAGCTGGCCTGCTTGAGACTCAGAATAGGTAGGAAAACAAACAATGTCCAAGCTTTAAGGCAGTCAGGCAGAAGGAATTCTCTCTTACTCTGCTGTTTTGTTCTATTCAGGCCTTCAGCTGACCAGATGGGGCCCACCCACACTGGGGAGGGCAATCTGCTTTGCTCAGTCTATGGATTCAGATGTTAATCTTATCCAGACATACCCTCACAGAAACACTCAGAATAATATTTGACCAAATATCTGGGCCCCATTAAGCTGACACATAAGATTAACCATCACACACAGTATGAAATATTATATTGTCTTTAAAAAGAATGAGTAAATCTGTATATTTTGACTTGGAAAGATCTCAAAGCTATTCTTGAATGAAAAAACCCACTGAACAATAATAGAGTATTATTCTTTATGTGTATGCATATGTTTGTTTTACATATTTGATATATGTATATGTTTAAATACAAGAAAAATGTCCAGAATCTTATTACTTTGGACTCTTTTTCATGCAACAAACACTTACTTCTGTCTAATGCAGTGAATTTGGGTTCTGGTAAGTGGGATCCAGGGCTCAAATAGTACGAATGGGGCTTTCCCCCTTTCCATCCCTCAAATCTTTCCTCTCTGTGTGTGATTCCTCTGGGGCTGGGGAAGATGGTCATTGACAGTTCCACATTTATACATGAGAAAATCCTTCTTGGTACTCTAAAGCCACACCCCATACAGCCCTAAATGCGTTCTGCTATCTTATCCACTAATACTAATTTATTTCCAATTAAGGATGAACCAAAGCTCCCTAAGCAGCTCCCTGATAAGTAACTTACAAGGCAAATGGACATGAAGATAATCAGAGGAGGTAGGGCATCACTGACAGGACAACAGGGCGATGTAAGTTTCCAGGCAACAGTGCTCAGAAGGTAGACCCAGGGACTAGTCACAGCGAGGTCAAGGAATGTGCTGTGGAGGAAGGCCTCCTGCATAGCTTCCTGCTCCAGGACATTCAGAAACTGTGGGCTTAGAGTGAGGGTGGGCCCAACAGGCCGTTGCAAGCTCTTGCTGCTAAATAAAAAATAGCGGAGACTGCAGAGCAAGGCACAATATCTTCTGTTGCTCCAGACACACCCCCAAAACTGTTTTCTTGACCATCTAACTTCTAAGATGTACTAAATTCCCTATTATTTTAGGAATGTAGATGCTGGGTGTTTGCTAGTCATTTTTCACTTTAATTGTTCTCTGGCAGCTACCCACATTGAAAAGACTAGGCATGAAACTGCTCTCTGATAAGAGAG